AAGTAAATTATAAAGAAATTTTAATGAAAATATGTATAAGATCTTTAAAATTGTTTATAAAAATAATATATTAAGTATGTATATTAATAAAATATATGTATATAATTCATCGGTTCGATTCGGTTATTTCTTCGGGTTTTTTTTAATAAAAATATAACCAAACCAAATACTATCGGTTTTCAAAAATCTAAAATCAAACCAAACCAAACCCAAATAAAATCGATTTTATTTTATCTGTTTGGTTTGGTTTTTCGGTTTGGATCGGTTTTTATCCAAACCGTGAACACCCCTAACGGTTAGTATGAAAGAAGAAATAGGTATGGTGCATCAAACTACCACCAAGCCTATTATGTGGGAAAGTGAAACGATGCATTACTATCTACTAATGTGCTACTTTAGTCTCATCCACCGATAAACACTTTACCTATGCGATAGTCAAATGAGCATTATATTGAGTCATTGAAAATTGAAGTGAGGGAATTGGCTATTTCCCCAATAGAAGAGAAGAGTGACCTAATCACTTAGGAATAATCTTCTTATTCAAGGTCATGTCTTCGATAAGCTAAATATGTGCCATAACTTGTATAATCAAGTTCTTTTGTGTCTAAATCACATGTCCCCAATAGAAGAGAAGAGTGACCTAACCACTTTATTTGAACATCAATGTTTGGTTATAAAATTTTCAAATTGAACTTGAATTTTAAACTTGAAAAACAACTTATAACTTGTTTCGATGTCCAGTAAAGTGCTCCCTAACAAAATCAATTTGTACCCAAAGGGACTCAAACTCAAAACTTCTAGTTAAGGATGAAAGAGTACTTAGCCCTACACCAATCCTTATCGGTACTTCATATATTTTCGGGTACATTGAAATGACAAAAAGAAAATTTGAAGTCTTTCAAAAGTGCGACGCCACTTGGATACACATTTTCCCTTATTATAAATAAATTTATGTAGGCAAGGAAATTGCATATTGATTCAATCCATTCTTAAATCACATATGTATTTGCTTTAGTTAGAGCACAAGTACCACTCGGAGATTGTGATGGAATGAATAGTATCTATTTACCCATAATCAGATGTTTTGGGTTCGTCAAAGACATAAAGAAGAATTATAATAAAAAGTGTTCCTCCTTTAATAGGTCATGGTACACAACACGGATTCAGATTCATAAGGGACCCAATATGGGTACGGGATATCGGGAGGGAACAAAAAAAAGAGTTAGAGCACAAGCACAATAGATGCTACTCTTTTTTGGAAAATACTATCTACAAATGATCCTATGAATAACATAAGATGAAAAATAATCACTCCTATGCAACCAAAGGGTTAAAAAGCATTGCAGCAATATTCTGCAGTGCAAACTGAACATATCCATGTTACTGAGCTCAATTGCCCTCTATAATTTATTAGTATTTTCTTTTGGTGGATGAAGAGGGGAGGTGGCTTAGCCTTTGTTGCTTTATTAACAATATTTCTGCCAGCAACAAGCACCAAGTAGCACTGTCCACCAAGACTAGAACATATGAGAAAAAATCACCGACTGTTTTTGTCTCCACTATCAACTACAGCTATATCAAGGTTTGGACTTGTTCTCTTCCTGTGCATAGAAGGATTCACAAGTTGCCACTCTTGTTTTTGATTCAGGTAGTTCCATTTCTTCACTGAATCCCATTGTCATTTTCAAGAAGTCTCCCTTGTGCAACACTTTCCATTCCTACAAAGCATTTCCATAGGCCAACAGAAAAAATTAAGGACTTGCTTTTACAGAACATTAGTTAAGAGGAAGCAACTTTCACTCTCTATAATTCTCTCTCGAGCACAGAATGGCGGAACCATGATAGTAAAAATATAAAGAAATAAATACACGAAGAAGTCAAGGGGATTCAACATATAGTATATATATACCATAAATTTGTTTAACCTATCTATACAGGGTAATTTCCAACAAAGGGGCGTCAATTGACACCCCTTGGACAAGTGTGGTTACGCCACTGCTAGCACACACACATGCACATAATTTGGTGCGAGGGCTATGGGCCCCTAATATTGTTCCTACTCCCAATCCTCCCATTTACTGAAGTAAAACAACTGTGCCTCAACTCGAAGCAAGCTGGGTGAAGCTATATGAATTCTCACTTTTCGATTCTCTAAAGTGACAAAAATAAAATCCCTCACTGAAGCTACTACAGAACAATCAGCAACAAAGTTACTCCATTAGTCCAATTGATGGAGAAAACTATGAATATTTTCAAGCTCAAATGAAAACTGTTTATATATATAAAAAAATCGTGGAAGAATTAGTAAAGGCTTATTGGAAGATAGATGTTGAAACTCAAAAGTATAAAGCAGCACAATGGAAACATGAGGCATGCTAGAGAACTGTTGTTATCCAGCAAGGGTTAAGTGCACTTGTTTTTTCTTGAATTTTGGGTGCACATAATCTAAAAAAGAAGAATAAAGACTATACAATCTGGGGTATTTAAAAGTTTATCTCTATTAACACACAAGAAATGGATTTAATTGTTAAATGTGAAGACAAGATATCAATTTAAGTTGGCCTAAACTTTGGCAATAGACTCCTATGTCTTTGGAGTTCAATGGAGAAGCTTTACGAAGGTTTGATAGTCAGCCTTTAAATCTCTCAAAAAAAATCAGATTTTGTTATACCCAAAATCCCAAGAACTCAAATTTTCTCAACATTGTCCGTTGAACAGCAATACTCTAGCATATTTTTCCCTAGTTTCCTTTTTGGTTGATCCGATGCACCAGAGCCTCCTTGGGAGGTATCGGGAAGGATTTCGAATGGAATAATATCGACTCATGCACTCTTGACATTACGAGGAAGCAAGTTCATTGAGTAGAAATGTAGAATAAAAAGAAAAGCAATAAAGAGGAACTTTTACCAAAATGGCTCAAAGAGCATAAAAAAGTAAGAGATTACACATACCTAACAAGTCCTAAATTATATACGATTACATTGTAGATTTTGTTTCTACAGTAAACAAAGACTTTATATGTTGGTAACTTATGACACAGCCACAACAAAACTCTATTGGAACCACTTGGGGAAGGAATGGTAAGAGGCCAAGATTCCTGTGTTTGAATCCATACATGGATCTTCCACAATTTTGTTCTAGATCTCACACTATCCTATTATACGCAGATGCAGAGACACGTTCAGTTCCTGGTCTACTCACAGGCAGAGATATGTAGATTATATGCTTGTAAATTTTTTACCAAATCCCACCACCTACTTTGGGCTTAAGATCAGGCAACCAAAAAAGTAGATATAACCCCGCAACATAATGCATTTTCTAAATGCACAGTCCAATCGAAATGAAAAGAAACGAAGACGGGACAGAAAAAAAGTATATCCCTTCTTCATATATTAGTACAACAAGCAATGAAGGGAGAGGCAGATATATGAGCTCTCAGATTTACCTCGAAGTCCCATTCCCCATGTAAATCTGGATCCATCTTGTTAACCCAAACATATGTTTCAACCTGCAATGTCTTGGACCTATCCTGCAAAACGAAGACATACTTTATAAAAACTGAATAAAATTGCAAAAATGAAAATAAATTAAACTATCACACTAAGTTCATGCCACAATCAAACAAACTAGTGATCCCAAATAAATCACTGTAGATTTTAGTAAAGGTGAGGGGGGAGGGGGGGTGGAGAGAAAGCAAAACATAAATTGATCATGCACTAACATTAAAATATTTGAAATACGAGGGTTTTTCCACGAAAGTTATAGTCCTTCATGGTCATCATTATTTCATTACAAACCTGCCCTAAAAACCATAATCTACAATGAACTAGAATATTCATTTTGTCAATCTGAAACTAAACTCTAAACCTATGAGGAAACAATGGTATAAAAGCTCAAAAATTAAATAGAAAAGCATTATATAGGACACGTAGGTGTAAATGCAAGTACTCTAGCAAGAGCAGAATTCACTACAGTGCTTAATGAACACAACACTAAGGAAACTTAATAACGTGGTATCCTTTTTAGTAATTTATCAGTTGCCTCAATAAGTCCACAGAAGTAATTATCTCCCACGAATAGTTCAGTAGATCCAACAAATAGGAACATTTGAACTATCAAAAAGATCGACTCATGCTCCATATCGTGCTTGAGAGTTGAGCCATAAAAAAGAATACACATAAATGCCACATTTTTTAAGAACTTCAGTGAATCAATACCATCAGGGAAACATCAACAGTCGTCCTTTCATACTCAACGTCCTCAAATGCATCCAGGATATTCAATTCAGGAACAGTGATATCCAAAAGAACCTGCAATTTTGTTAGAACAAGCATATTTAGAAGATCTGCAGGAGGGATAGATCCAAAATTTTCAGAGGTCTCAATGACAAAGAACTGTATCAGTAATTTGTTCTCACTTCTAGTAGTTAATTATAAACTATATGCAATGTGCCTTGACCTCAATCCATCCTTCCATTCACCATTGAAATCATCAAGCTAGAGTACATATAAGCTATCTTATGACTTACTAAGAGCAAGGGCTCAATGGCTAAGCATGTAATGCTTGTTGATAAGGTTATCATCACACGTATGGAGAAAAATGATTAAAGGAAAAGTTGAGAATTGATGTTTGCAGCCACAATGCTTGTAAATGCTCTACAATAACAAAGTAGGATGCTTCAAAAGACCTTCCTGTCAATGCTCTACAAAGAAAGATAAATACACAAAAAAACGTAAAAAGGAAACTCTACAACAAAAGAAAAGAAAATATTTAAAAGTTCAACAAACCTTCCCATTAACTCTTTTGTTCTCAACTGGTAGAATGGCAGGATAAACACGCCCTTTGATGCTAAACCTATGACTGCACCAAAATAACAGAATCAGCGGTCACCGCTAGCAAAATACTAGAAAAATATATCCCTCTATCACCGGGGGAAACAATGCACACAACAACTAAACACCAACTTGGCATTGCACACACGCAAAACAGGAAAAGAAATCCCACTACTGAGCATTTAGGTAACAGGTAAACACAACTTGAGAATGCATACAACCAAAACTAAAGCAAATCCATTACCAAACATCTACTAAAGTTCTCATGTAGTCATATTGGTACACATAAGATCCGGTATTTGTCAGGAATTTTTATAATTATGAGTCTTATCAGTTTGTTTAGCGTTTTATATGTCAATAGAAAACATAGAGAGCTCCAGTGTCTGAGAACTCTTGATTTGACTTAAAATTATAATTTATACAGAACTAAATTAAACAGCCCCAAATGGAGCTAGATGAAGATTTAGGATTCAAACAGTTGAGCTCGACTAGCTTAGTCATTGTCACTATTAGGTCTCATTAGTCATTTCCAAGCAATATGAAAACAATGCTGAAGGTAGCTCAATCTCATAGAAAACTAAACACGAGCAGAATCAGTTGCATGAAATTTCATATAACCAGTTTCAAATTCACAAGACTCAAGTTCAAGTAGTCATCACCAATGGCAGAGCTACAATAGATTTGACAGAACCTCGTAGCTTTGGCTTAAACATTGTAGTTATGTTAAGGAATTCACTTGATATAATGAAAATGTAGTAAGCAAAAACAAATTGTGGTCCAAAACCCATAAATTTCAAATCTTTAACTTGTTTCGCTTGTTGTTACCTATTGTATTGTATTGTATTGCATTGCTAGTTTAATGAACAATGTTTGTTTTGATTATTACTTCGTATCGTATCGTATCGTTAAATCCATCTTTAAAATCCCATTTTACGTAAGAACCAATTTGGTGTGATTGTGTGGCTACCTTATTTTCTTCTTCTCATTTTATCTTTGAATAGTATCTAATAACCCTACTTTTTCCTTTACACTATCTTTTTATAACACTTCTACCCTGTAGTTTGTCCTTCAAATTGCTTCATGTGTGGCGTTATGTAACAATGGAAAACGATACAACCTATTCAAACACTCTATTCATCAACACAATACAGTACAATATGTAACAACCAATTCGAAACTAGAACCACAACTTCCCAATACCCATTAGATTTCCAATTTGTCTGCTTAAAAAATTGTGCCAATTCTCAATACCCATTAAAGAAAAAACGCATTTACCCTCATTTTCTACGTACAAATGGATCCATTGATGATTTTAATTAGAATAAAAAACTTACAAGTTGTGGAGGATAGCAGGATTAGAAGGAGGGACGCGTTTGAGAAGAGCACGAACAATGTCGTCAGCTAATAAGCTGCCATAGACGAACACATTGAAGACGGACTGAGGAGAAGTCGCCATTAACAATTCCCCAAGACGGAAAAAACTGCGTTTAAAATTTTATTCAAATGTCAGTTGTTACTTAAAAAACTCATGACCCGATTTGGATCCAAAATTTCTGATTTAGGACTCGACTCTTGATCCTGACTTGACTTCTAACTCTCGACCCTTATTTGGGATCTGATTCTCTTGGTCACTCTTGATTCGGGTTAGATCCTGTTTGGAAATCAAACTTTCAATTAACATTTGAATTTATAAATCTAATTTTAATTATATATATTACTATTTAAGAAATAGTTATTTTTAGATATTAAAAAAATAATATATATTTGAAAGTTATTAAATTACACCATTATTTTGGAGTAAAAGATTTATAATGATATATTGAATAAAAAAAAAAAAAAAATGTGTGTACAAATAAATATCTTTTATATATATAATTTAAAACAAATACGTAAAGATCTACAAGATCTCTTTTGAAAGCTGGCAAAATTAAGTATTAACAACAATTAGCTTTATTAGTAATTTTTTAATAAAGGAAATTCTTATGTGATATTCAAAACCAAATAAAAAAAATAGTAACATGTTTCCCATAAAAATGAATCTATTCCTAAATTATAGTCTAAAATTTCGATGAGTGTATTATAAACGTGAAATAAAATGTAAAACGTTTTATATTATTGTAACACAATGATAGATAATGATTTTTGTATGTTAATTATTAATAATACATAGTACTTGTTATTCCACGTCCAATCACTTTCGGATCAAAACATTTGCCAAATGAATAAATCAATATGAATAATTGTGTTATATATACACATTTACATAGAAACAAATTAACATACATTATGTAAGCAATAATTTAAGAAAGTGGGGTAGTGATTTTAGCATGGCCTAAAATAAAATAGAACATTATTTATTCATTAACATATTACACTTTAATTAGGACCTAATTCAAATTTGGTTGCTCTTTTTTTTTTTGTCAATATTCAGATTCGTTTAATTTAAAAAAATTCAATATGTTTTTTATTGTTTTTATCACAAGATAAGAGGTATTTTTAAAAGAGAATTTTATTTTATATAATGGCTCACCAAAATAACAGCCGTCAAAATATATGTTTTTTCTGTACATTAAGAGTAATTACATATTTTATACATAATAATGCATAAATTTGTATATATAATTAGTGAATGTTATTATTTTTTTATCGCCCACCAATTATATCACCTTCCCTTCTAAAATCTTACAATTTCAACTTGTATAAATCAAAACCCTTTGGCATATAACAACTAATAAATTTTAATTTTTTTTACATACATATTTAAGATCATAAAATTAAAAGTGTATTTTATATATTTTTAGTTCAAGATCTTTATAATATGACACATCTTCAGTTTATCGAATACATGATTTTAGATATGAAGGTGTGAAGATCGCAAGTAAAGGTAGAAGGTTAATAGATAGTCGAATGTTGTCTTAATATTAGCCTTTTTAAGTGGTCTATGACTTGGTGGTAGTCTAGTGTACGGTATCTCTGTCGTATTATTAACATATTTATGTAGTTTTGGACTTTTAGTATCTGTTATCATCTGTTGTTTATTATATTTAGATGATCGCACCTTGTTATTGATGTGACGATTCCATGCATATATACTCCATACCAATGGGCAGTGGCGGAGCCAGTATTTCAATAAGGAGGTTTAAAATCTGAAAAAATAGACACACGAAGTAGCTGAAGGGGGTTCGACATCTACTATATACCTAAAAAATTATTTTAACCGTGTATAAATAATATAATTTTTCGCCGAAGGGGTTCGGATGAACCTCCTACTTGTAAGGTGGCTCTGCCACTGCTCCATACTGATTTTCTTTTAGCTGTCGTGTTTCTTTTTACTATCCGTTTTCCCCTTTCTATTACTATTTTGATTTGTTTCACTTAAGTCGACAATCTTTCGAAAATAATTTTTATTTTCACTAGGTGAAACAAAGGTCTGTGTATTTTTTTTAAAAAATCCGTGTCAAATTAAAATCATCAACAAAGAAAAAATAATTAGGTTGATTATACTTTACTCTATCTTGTTTTTGTTCATGAACATTCACAAAACGGTGTTTTTAAATAAAAAGTAGCCATCGGAATTTTATTTCCCAATTTTTTCCCGCCGGAGTTTCTTCACGTCGGCAAAGTTGACTGCCAGTTTCCGTCGGCCACGGACCTCCTCCTTCCGATCTCCTTCTCCGCTGAAATCCACTCGTAAGTTCCCCTTTTTCTATCTACCGCCATCTCGCTCTCGATTTATACATAATAACTAACTGTTCTCTTCCACGGATTTTACTGGTGAAATACGATTGGTGATTCCATTGCATATAGAATGAACTCTAATTTACTAGTTACTATGCTGTTTACTTACTTTCCCTGTGATAAGAGGCTATGAAGTTGGTATAATACGAATTGGAAATTCAATTGGAGATTCCACTGCATTAAGAATGAACTCCGATTTACTAGTTACTACGCGTTGTATTACTTACTTCCCCTGTGATAATGGCTATGGAGTTCTAATCATGTTTCATAAGAAATGTAATTGTTGTCGTTGTGGATAAAGGTCATAACTTTCAAGTTGTTTAGTAGATCCACATAATTTCAATTTATAGCGCCATTGGGAACCTAAGCATTTGATAGCAATCATTTAAGATACCCCTTAAACCCAAATTCCTTCTGTTAATTGACATGATTCTGGTATGCTAGAAAACTTGATGATTGATATTTCGTTAGTACTTTTTTTTCCCTGCCAAGATTTTGTTTCTAGTTGAAGTTGATCTTTATTTCATCAAAAAAAGTAATTACAAATCAAAGCTGATGCTGACCTCCAGGCTTCAGCCAACTTTGGTAATGTTCCTACCCAATTAACTTGTAGGGGTGGAGTCAGGCAGTGGTGGAGCTAAGATTTTTATTAAGGGGTTTCAAAATATGAAGAAGTAAAGACACGAACTAGCCGAAGGGGGTTCAACATTTACTATAAACACATAAAAAATAATTTTAACTAAGTATAAATAGTGTAATTTTTTGTCGAAGGGGGTTTGGATGAACCCACTAACATCATGCTTGCTCTGTCCCCCGAGCAAGGTAGGGCCGAGGGGGTTCCAAGCCTCCTTCAAAGGAAAATTACACTGTTTATACATGATTTTAATTTATTTTTTATATATAGTAGATGTTAAACTCCCTTAAGCTTCTTCTTGTGTTTACTTCTTCTTTTTTTGAACCTCGTTAGTCGAAATCTTGGCTCCGCCATTGCTAACTTGTACATGCAAATTAGGAGATAAATCACTAATCACATTTTTCCTATGCAACAAAAAGAGACAAAGGATAACAATCTATAGATGCCAGAGTCCTCTGCCATTTGATGTTGTTTCTGCCATTGATGTGGACATGTTAAGCAATTTCTCTGTAGATCTTATCAGGAAGGAACTATGTATGTTGAAATCTGAGTAGGTTCCTCCCTCTCCAATCCAGGCCACTAGCATGCTGAAAATGCAGCAAATAATAGAGCTGTGGCCTGATTTCCTTTTAGCAGTCTGAAATTCACTGGATTTCAGCAGTACACTCACCAATTCCTCATTCGGATCCCAACCAAGACTATAGACTAACGTTGTTTAATATAATGGTGTAGCAGGGTTATGTTGCTCGGTCTCTTCAAAAATGTCGACGGGTGCGTGTCTGATCCTCCAAAAACAGTGCGGCAACATTTTTGGAGAGTCCGAGCAACTTAGTAGCAGGGAACATATATCTTCTTAGTTCTGCTATGGGTCTTTATGTTGCCAAGTCTCAAAGAAATGTAAATTTGGCAGTTTTCAAAAAAAAATAAAAAAATATAAATTTGGTACTTCATCTTAAAGTAAGGTAAAACTTGAAATCAGTTTCTTTCCCCTGTTCTTGAATTCACTGTATGAACACACGTCTGGAGTGGTGTCCCACCTCCAAATTACATGGTTTGACACCAGTCTATGGAGGCAATCTGTTTTTGATGTAGAAGTGCATATTTGGGACCTTCCGTATATGAAGTAAAAAGTTATTTGGTATAGATGAATATGAAAGACAAAGACATATATTGTTCAAAACAATCTTTTTTGTGGCTATTATTGTCTAGTTAGTACACTGACATTTCTCTTTATGCTCACTCAAGTGATAAACCTGCCAAGTCTGTACCTCTTCTGTAGGTCAAATTGCCTCTCTCTCTCTCTGGTATAGATGAATATGAAAGACAAAGACATATATTGTTCAAAACAATCTTTTCTGTGGCTATTATTGTCTAGTTAGTACACTGACATTTCTCTTCATGCTCACTCAAGTGATAAACCTGCCAAGTCCGTACCTCTTCTTCAGGTCAAATTGCCTCTCTCTCTCTCTATATATATATATAGTGTGTGTGTGTGTGTCACACACACACAAAATCAATTGCCCATAGAGTCAAAATAGGGAAATATATATATATATATATAATGTATGTGAGTGTCACACACACACAAAATCAATTGCCCATAGAGTCAAAATAGGGAAATGTTTCATTGTTGCAAATCTTCTTTTGCCCATTCATTCAAATGGGAAGCTAGGAATGTTGTAATTCCCATCAATGCACCAAGCTTTAGACCACAAACCTTGTGAGTCGGGTAGCCATAGCTCTTTCCGTAAAGCAGTAACAACATGATCTTTAGGCTACAGTATGAATCTAACTGTATTGTGTAGTCATCCTCAAGATTTCTGAATAAACATGAAACAGAAAACTACAGAATCAAATAATCAATAAGGTGAGAACAACCCTCCACCTGCTGTGCTACTAAATTCGCTTTAACTGACCTTGACCTTCAAATAACCCTAGAGTTCCTGAAGATACATTTTAGATTCCTGGAGACAATAGCCCAAATAGTTTGAATTTTCTGCCTTTAGTCACTGCTTTCATCTTCTACTTTATGTTGGACTATCGACTCCTCTAACAGTTCGGGGAAGAATCTAAACTTCATAAGATGAGGCTAGAATTAGGTTGTCCAACAAATGGAATGCATTATAAACTACAGAATGAGTCAATCATCTCATGCTCCATCTTGAAATTCCTTAAGATATTTCGGGTGTGTTAATTTCATTGGGTAATAGTACTTAAATGATTTAATTGCTACCTAGTTTGGTACTAGGATCCCAAGGGCATAACGATACTGGTGGAAGTTGGCATTACATTTTTACGGGCTATCCAGAAAGAGTGGAATACAAGATGTTTCAAAGATGACAAGGCTGCGGTGCAGTCTCTGAGTGTTAGATATTTTCTTCTGCTGCAATCATGGTTTAAAGAGGGCCGCATAGGACGAATGCATACTTCATTGCAGTTTATGGTTTCTCTATCATTAGCATAATTTTGTCTTCAGAATGAGTTCTTCATCTTCCATTTTTCTGCTTTCTAATCATTTTTAATGCTTTGCGCTAGTTCGTTATCATTAAAATCGAAGATTAGCTCTAAAACGTTCTGATAACCACTCTGTATCAGTGGTTTCCCAGTAAATTTCTACCGTTGTCCACTTGTGTGTAGTGCTCTAGTCATGAAACCTTAGGGTCTTAATATTATGTCATTGCTTCTCTTTGTTATTTCAGCTATCCGAGATGGGTATATACCTGAGTTCTCCGAAAACGGAGAAATTTTCAGAAGATGGTGATAATGTTAGGGTTGGATATGGTTTATCATCAATGCAAGGATGGCGAGCAGCTATGGAAGATGCTGTGAGTAATCAGTAATGATTTTATCTACTTTAGCAAATATGTTGCAGCATGTAAGTTTGTCGAATAAAAGAAACTATATTTCTCATCCAATAGTTCTTTAGGGCATTTATGCCGTAAAGAAAAATGATTGTAATACTAAAATAGGTAACCTGCACACTATTACTCTATGCTTTTCAAAGCTTTTGATGTAGGAAAGCCTATGCCTAATATATAGTCTTTTCTGCAATTCGTAAATAAAAGGATTTTTTTAGACTCCATCTGATGCTGATATCTCTATCCATTATTTTATATTGAGTTATGTGATCTGACACATCAATCCTAGTTGGTCCCTGACCTGTACGGCGTGAAGTTACAGTCAGACCATGCATTTAGCATGTTTTTCCATCTATTTGGGAGCAATTACAAACTGCCTTGTCTTTGCTTACTTGCTCTATGAGAACTAATGAACAAATTTACAAACTGGAAATTTGTAATTCTCTGGCTACTTCGTTGTTCCGGTTAGCTACCCAAATCACTGGGTAAGACCCTCCTTGAAAGGAGAAAGAGAACCAATTAAGTGAAAACAAATCATTCTTGCAATGTGCAACTACCACACAACTATGGCAACTCTTTGCCTGTCTAGCTGGAATTGTTTGGGTGACGCCTCAAGGTACTTTTGACCTTATATGTAGTTGGAACAGTATAGATGGAAGAACAAGTCACAAGGAGTGGTGGAAGATTGTTCCAACTTGCATATGGTGGACAATTTGGAGAGAGAGGAATGCAGGATGTTTTGAAGGCAAGAGCAGCTCAATTCAGAAGATCAAGAGTTCCTGAGTTTCTTTTTTATACTTTTGGTGTAAAAAACAATTAGTAGATGATTGTGAATCCTTACTAAATTTTCTCGTCTCATTGTAAGAATTACTCGAGGGCTGTATTTGTAGATAGTTGATACCAGCTCTTCTTTTTCGGTGCTGATGAATATAACATGTTACCACCACCAACAACACATACCCGGTATATGCGAGAAAATGGGGTCTGGGGATAATATAACATGTTACCATTTTCATTAAAAAAATTTAAAAAATCGGAAGAATCTCTCTGTAAAAAGGTTAGATTACTTAAGACGTCGTTCTTTAATGTGATTGTTGGGAAGGGGAGTCCACATCCACTCAAGTTGTAATGTTTATTGTGCTTTACATTAGTTTGATCCACAGTACATGTTATTGTAGCTACCTTGGGGTGCCTTTTCGTATGTAATTTATGCTTTTATTTAGCAATACTTGATCAGCCTCTCTGTTTATCATAGTGTACAAGCTATGGAAAGATTCAGCTTGATGCATGGTGCGCTTTATTTTGATCTGACTTTTGCTCTAATTTATCTAGCATGCAGCAATTACTGACTTGGATGCTTCCACTTCCTTTTTTGGTGTCTATGATGGTCATGGAGGTACGTATTTTTATATATATGCATCACTGAAATTATGCTCCCCTCTACCTTTACTTTTTTAGGAAGTTTGCCTCTCACCCTACCTTGATGTATGGCACTTCGATACTTATATCCTTGAACAGTTGAGTGATGACATATTCTTGAGTATGAGTGAAGAAAAATATGGTTGTGATGCGTCCAGCATAAGTGGGATGATGTTCCATCTAACGAATGGAATTTTAATATTCAGTTGTTCATTCAGATGTATTTTCCTTCACTAGTCTAAGGCCATGGGAGAAATAGAGTCTAGTTTAGATCACTGTCACCATGAATATTTTGTGGGAATGTTTGCAATTATGGGATTTGCAGCTTTCAATTGACTTTTGAAGATCCACGCGAACTAGTTAGTTCTGTTTATTAAGGCATTACTTATTCAATCTAATTTTTGTATAGAGTTTTAGCAGACAAAACAAAGGAGGATTTTCCCAATATAATTCCTAAACTAGACAATTCTCCACTATGATTCTCAGTATTACAGCAATTGGTATCACGTAGATGCCATGCTGACCAAAAGACTTCTTAACATTTTTTTCATGATTTTTTTTTCTTTCACAATTTGAAATTTAGACTTTTAACAGATGAAGTGGGATGAATGAACTGCAGGATAGTCTTTGTTTATACACACACATGAGCTCACTAAAGAAGCAAAACCCAAAATGTATGACAGAAAAAATGTAAAAGGTTATCTAATGAGGGGCCCGTGTGGAGTTTGATCTTAACAAAAAGAATGAGGACAAAATGGAAATTCAACAACAACAACACGTGTAGCAGCTCACATCATCAAAGAAGTAAAATTTCTATTTTAGCCCTGTGAGGACTACAAAAGTTCCTTACATATAGTAGTAATGTATTAGTTATGTGAGTTTCTAAATTGCAAACTAAACAGCGTACTAATTTTATACATGAATAACTTACCTCCTAACTAGCTACCAAACGTGGTATTACTTATGCAAGATTTGATACCTGCATAATTCCCCTCCGAACACGCTACCAAATGACCCCTCAATGAATTATGTTGTTTATGATGTTGAAGATATTCTGCATGTTGGGATACTATGACATGAATTTGCTGATGGGTGATATTTCTTGTTGTGATGTTCCTTTGGTGAGAATGGCATTTCTACATTTGGAGGTGTTCAGATTGTTCTACATGCTCAGCAGCATGTTTAATGTATTTCCCATCTAAATATTGTTCATGGTATGGTCTACTAGTAGTTTTGGCTTGTATGTAGTTGAAGTATATCTGATTTAGGATACTGAAGGTTCATTTGCTTGCTAGAATTCAGGGGAGAAGCTCCCCTAGCCTTGAAATTTCCTTTTCAACCATGATTATTAGACACTTCAATTCATGTAATTTTTTATGCATTAGAAAGATAAGTAGGCTACTAATGTGCATTATTAAAGATGTTTTGCATAACCAATATGCTACCCTTGTGATATGTGAAATAACTGAACTATTTTAGGTAAAGTTGTTGCCAAATTTTGTGCCAAGTATCTACATCAACAAGTACTCAAGCATGAAGCGTATCTACAAGGAGATATTGGAACTTCAGTCCAGAAAGCCTTTTTCAGGTGATTTCTTGAAGTTTTGGTTGTATAACTGGCTAATTAATATTTTGTATGTACTTTTGTCTTATCTTTTAGCATCAATTTTTGTGTAGTTTTTTATTTCAACCTTATTCCAGACTTTCAGTTTACTTTTTGTCTTTATATTCTGGTGGGCAAAAATGAAAATGATTAAAATGGTGTATGCCTACTTGGTTGGATGTTGAATTATCTCTGTCTGTCTGTTTAAATTAATATCTTGTAGCTGCGGTTTAGTCCTTATGTTCTTTCTATGGCTCCTGAGATTTAAGTTCTTTTATTGGTTCTCCAAAAGTGCTTATCAGCTATCAAATCACATCCTTGATATTAGGATAGAAAACCCACTGTTGCAGTAAATTGTCGTACTTTGATAAAAAGTGAGAAGGAACAGAAGTGAAAGCTTTAAAGTAATAAGCTGTAAGCTCTCAGGGCTTTGGTAAAAGCACTACATATGATGTGTGTGCTAGGCGTATGTCACGGGTTTGAACCCTGCCACAAACAGAAACCTGGTATTTAAGTGGAGAAGGACGAGTATCAATTTTTGTGCCACTGACCCTCAGGATTTCTCAGTTATCAAAAAAAAAAAAGAAGTAATAAGGTTTAGACGTGGGTTCATTCACCTCCTCACTTAAATCATGGATCATATGTCCTGTTAAAAAAAACTGTTGATCATATGATATCCACAACATACTGTCCCAATATCCTTCACCTCCTGTATTCTGCACAACAATAAGTTTTAAGCATGAAAATCTTCAGTATATTTATGATTTAGACTAATCAGGTTATTTTGATCAACAGTATTTGATGAGATTGGCAGAACAACAATCTCGTACTAGTTTAGCTCTACCCCTCCTTTCTTTTTGTCTCTACTTTTTCCGGTCTCTCCCCTTAGGTGTTTGATCTAATTTGCCTGTTCTAGATTTCTATAGTCAAGATAGAGGAAGAACTCTCCCTTCTCTCTGTAATATGGAAATGTGAATTGTAAATACCAGACGAGAAAGGACTGATGAACTGGCAAAGCAGCAAGGATTCAACCTACTAAGTAAGCTTAACCTAATATATCGTGAAATAAAAAATAGATTGAATTGATTGTTTCGCCCATAATGGATCCAAACTTGTTCTCCTGCACAGATACAGTTGTTTGATAGGTTGTGTTCCATCAGAAATTGGAGGGTTTTCTATTGCAGTTTCTGGAGAAGAAACCAAGAGAAGATTGTGTTTCTTACCCCTTAGGTACATGTTAGGTTGGACGATTCAATCTTCGGACGGGTGAGATTGGTGCAATTGTGGAATGGACAATAAGGGGATGGTGACCACTGATTAAACTCAAACTTGGCGGTGCATTATGGGGTGTGAGGAAGAATTGTGATCCATAGGTTATTGTTGGTTGCGATGATTAAGTTGGCTACTGTAATTAGTACTGACCAATTTTTATTTTAAATTTTGTTAGTTCCCGCTTCTTAGATTGCCACACTGTAAAAGGGGCTAACACTTCTTCTGTTTGTGCATTGCATATTCTTGCACCTATGCATATACGTGATGCTCTTTTGTTAATGAAACTTCTTACTTCACTTAAAAAAAAAAATGGCGGCGGCAGTGGTGGTTGGAACTGGAGTTTGAAAGATGGAATGTTTGGTGGCTATAGGATAGAGTGTAGTGGCATAGGAGGAAGGTATGGTTGTTTGGTGGGAAAAGATCTAGAGGAAGAGGCCAAAAAAAGGAATTCAGAAGAGATGAGGAAAATATTTTCTTTAACCTTCACTTCTCTGCAGTGCACTTTTTCTTTCTTGTTTGTTTATCATTTGGTCTGTCCAAGAAAGAAAAATAAGATGATTTCAGTAAAATTCGACAGAAAATTAGCTAAGGATACTGATTATACAGTGTGTAAATTCTGAAGATCTATATACAAACTTGTAACCTTTTTGTCAAAAAAAAATAAAAAATCTGTGTCAGAACACAGTTTTAAGGGAAGCTCCACATGCTGTAAAGATACAGGTTCTGACTCAAAATCTATTTTTGCATGATATAGAAGCTCTTTTAGAGAGAAAAGTGCAAGATAAAGTATAAGGCTGATGTATCCAAGGGTGTGGGCAAGTGGTGAATGAAGTGGGTTGAGCACCATGAGGTCTTTGGGAACCAATTCCCAACAGAGACAAAACACTGGGTGATTTCTTCCCATCTGTTCCAGTCTTGGTGGAAAAAATTACCTGGTACTTGTTGTTGGTGGGAGGTGGCATGTATCCCATGGAATTAGTCGAGGTGCACACAAGTTAGCCCGTACACAACGGTTCTGGAAAAAAAATAGTATAAGGCTGATCAGAAGACCGAAAAGGCTGTGACTAAGCACAGAAAGAAAGAGATAATCTTCCCATATCAATTTGGAAGTCAATAACTTATTATCCCGCTGTTCCCCTACCCCGTAACCATGCAAAGGAGAAACAAAGAAATAAATTCTAGTTCATTATATGCTACTCCTTTCGGTCGAAAGTAATTGATGTTTTTGCCTTTAAGCATTGATTAAAAACAATTGATGTTTCACAAACCAAGAAGGTATTTAATTCTTTTCCCCAAATTTGTCCTCGACGCATTCCTAATTCAATGTACAAAATTTAATGATAATTATGTCAACCTAAAAAGAAAAGGAAATCATAATTAAGGGTATTTTAGTCAGAACCTCTTTTAATTTTAAGGAATAACTTAATCCATATGCCCAAGCCTAAAACATCAATTATTTTGGATGGGAGTAGTATGTAAAATCTCAATTCTTGCTTGTGCGCCCGTTTGGCATGGTGAACAGAAGGGGAACTTACAAGAAAAGAGGATTGAGAAGTGTTCGGAAGGAAACAGTGCTTCTTAGGATGATATCAACTTCCCAGACTGCTGTCAATCGTTTTACATCTAATACCCCTATGAGTTCAGCTTGGCTAACCTTCCACCAGAGCTCTTTTTGTATTAGATGCTCTGAAGATCTAACTCATGCTTACCATTTTTGTGTTTTTTTTTTATGAAGTAGATGTTTTATTTGGAAGGCATCAAGGAGATGCAAATTACATACCAAAAACATGGTTAACTCCTGAGAACAAAACACCTATTTAATCAGGGGGTTAGCCACAAGCAAAAGAATGGTCGCTAATCCATATTGAGGGAGCTAATGAAATCTGAGAGGGGTAATATATTGTTTACAGGGGATAAATTGCTCCAATGGAAGATGTTAATAAGGGAAAAGGATTTCAAACCGCTAATTGGAGTTGAGATACCATCAAAACATCTGAGATTCCTTTCCTTCCAAATGCACCAAAAAAACATGATAGAATCATCTGCCAGGTCTTCTTGATGTGGCTATCAACTTCTCTAAGACTCCAACTTCCCACTGCTTCTTTGACACTCTGGGGGAGAATCCAGTTAATACCAGCAATTGAAATGAACATATTCCAAAGAGTTGCTGCCACTGGACAGTGCAGAAACAATTGATTCACTGATTCCAGGCTATTGAGGCGCATGAAGCATCTATTTACTAGCTAAAGTTTCCTCCTATTTAGATTGTCCAGGGTTAGGGTAGCATTCCTGAGGGTAGTCGAGGTGAAAGACTTGATTTTAGGGGGTAGTCTAGTTTTCCAAATCAGTTTCCTTGGCCACTGGTCTATCATGTCATTTGAAGAGCACAACTTGTGGTATCCTTCCTTCACTGTGTATATACCTGTTTCAGAGCTGCCCCATTTTAAGCTATCAGGCAAGTGAGGGGTCATTGAGGCTCCTTCCAGAGTTCTGAAAAAATCTAATAGCTCATTAAGCTCCCAGTCCTGGAAATTCCTCCTAAAGCAAGGTACCCTTACTCCATCTTCTGTATTTTGAGCCACTGAAGAGTCTGTGTCAGAGGCTATCCTGTAAATAACAGGGTGTGGGACATTGAGAGATTGATTGTTAAGCCACCTATCTTTCCAAAATTTAACTGAGTTATGATTTCCAATCCTGAAGGACACCTCTTGGAAGAATTTCTCCCTTGGCTTGTAATGTACTTCCAAGGTCCAAATCGTAAGGGTCATTATTCTTCTTGGTTCTCCATCTGTCTTGCCTCCCATATTTGACATTCACTACCTCTTTCCAGATACTTGTTGGTTCTTGAGCATATCTCCACCACCATTTCATAATCTCTGATTCCCAGTGCTTCTTTAAATCTCTGATTCCCAAACCTCCGTGCTGCTTTGGCATAATTACATTTTCCCACTTCACAAGATGGAACTTATGGCCCTCATAGCTCCCCCTCCATAAGAAAGAACTTGTGATTTTGTCAATCTGTACCTTGGATGGTATTGGGAGCATTGACATATGGCATAATTACATTTTCCCACTTCACAAGATGGAACTTATGGCCCTCATAGCTCCCCCTCCATAAGAAAGAACTTGTGATTTTGTCAATCTGTACCTTGGATGGTATTGGGAGCATTGACATATGGCATAATTACATTTTCCCACTTCACAAGATGGAACTTATGGCCCTCATAGCTCCCCCTCCATAAGAAAGAACTTGTGATTTTGTCAATCTGTACCTTGGATGGTATTGGGAGCATTGACATAATATATGTGGGGATATTGTCAAGTACACTGTTGATAAGAGTCGACCTGCCTCCCATAGAGAGATATACAATTTTTGCATTGTGAGATCACTAATTGTTTTTATGCTGCTAAGCTGTGTGTTGAAAGATTTTGTTTTGTTGTTGGTGCAGAATGGATGAGATGATGCGTGGTCAGAGAGGATGGAGGGAGCTGGCTGCGCTAGGGGATAGATTAAACAAGTTTTCGGGTATGATAGAGGGTCTTATATGGTCTCCAAGAAATGGTGATGGAAACGGAAATACTGATGACTGGGCGTTTGAGGAGGTATATGCTGTGCAGATAATACTGAGTTAAGAAGAAATTGGGATAGAATGTGATTTATTGCTGTCTTTTTGTTTTATAGTTGACATATAATTTTTTTGAAATTGACGCTAGGGGATTTAATTAAGGACACATAATTTTCTTTTCCTTGTCTTTTCTCGTGGCTCATTCGGAGCTTCCTGCATATTGCCATTGTCGTGCACATTGCTTGATTGGTTTATGGCTGTGTTTGCCGTTATCAGGGTCCTCACTCTGATTTTCCTGGACCAACTTCTGGATGTACGTCTTGTGTTGCAATCATTAGAGAGAACCAACTCATTGTTGCGAATGCTGGTGATTCTCGCTGTGTGATTTCACGGAAAGGCCAGGTGGGATGCTATTGTAGTGTTAATTACTCTCTTTCCTGCCCTCTTATACTCTCCTTAGTGGATCTTTTATAGTGAAGTTGTGTTCCAACATGGCAGCTCAGCATGCCATGACACTGCACTTGCTAGGGCTAGGTCATAGTGTTAAATGCGCAGTCATGGGCTTTTGTTGTTACGATAACATTTATGGTTTATATGAAGCATTAAAATGAATATTCATGTGTCTTTTGTGCAGGCATATAATCTATCGAGGGATCACAAGCCTGATCTTGAGATTGAAAGAGAGAGAATTTTGAAAGCAGGTGGTTTTATCCATGCAGGGCGTGTTAATGGCAGCTTAAATCTTGCAAGAGCTATAGGTATTATGTGATTTTATTCATGAACCTTTATTAATCTGCTTAAATGCTAGCCAATGGAAATACAGTTTGCAACGTCAGTAATGGAGCAAGATAAAAAATGTAATAAGGATCAGAGGCGGATCCAGGATTAAAGCAAGGGTTCAGTTTTTAAGGTTCTTAGCATTGAACTCATTGTATTTTTAAACTTATGGGTTTCTATCTACTATTTGTTGCATTTTTCGTGGATTTTTACGCATAAATTTATGCTCCGCGACAGAAGTATTGGGTTCATACTCTACATACGCCTCTCATTAGGATTTGTTTTCTAAGTGGTAAATTCAGAATTTGAACATTTGGCTATTTGATAAATATATCTATTGGATGAGATAGTTAGCATATCTTAACTTCATTGCAGGTGACATGGAATTCAAGCAGAATAAGTTTTTGCCAGCTGAGAAGCAAATTGTTACGGCCGATCCAGATATAAATATTGTATGTTCCTTCAGGCTCTTCATAAATTGTGCAATGCCTTCTATCATATTGTTAAGACATCTATTCTCTGAGAAGTCTTGATGTTAATAGGTGGTGCATAATATTCTTTGTTCCATGTGTACAACTGTGTCTATTTAAGTGTGTTGGTCATTTGGAGACGGTTCTTTCCTTTAAAAAAACTGTCTTTGAATGGCCCTGAAACAGCAATCAGTGGTAAATCATGCTCTCATTTTTGAAGTGTAAAATAGCCAAGTGTCAATCCAACAATCATTGGTTGCTCTAATTTCTTGTAAACTTCTTACTGTTCATCAAATTTCATCATCTTGTTGTTGCAGTAGTTATATTTAGCTCAGTTGCTAATATCCATGTGATGAGAATAGATGGAATAATTCATTAGGCTCAAAAGAGGAATCTAATGCAGTGATGTCCAGTAAGATTGTTTGATTTGATGTAGGGGTGTCAAATAGGCAGGTTGGGCTGAATTTGGGCAGGTCTAAATAGACCGAGTTAATAAATGGGCTGGTTAGTAATGTGCCCAAAGGTTGCTTGAGTGAGGTAGACTGGGTCACGATAGGTTATAAACAATGACTCATTGTTCAACCACAAAACTTTTTCTCGGTTTTAATTTCTTTTATGGTTTGCTTATAATTTGTTTGATTACCAGACAAAACTATTTTTTATTTTTTTTTGTACTATACCTATATTTAACATGTTAAACAAAACAAAAAATTCTTTAAATATTTGACAAGGTTTTTCATGGGTCAATTTGAGTTGCATGCTTGCTTAGCTCAAATCAGCCCAACTTTAAATGGGTTGATTTGGGTGGGTCAATATGGGCTCAATCAGTAAACAGGCGACCAACCAAACTTGGGCAGTTTATAGGCTGTCATATTTTCATGGACTATTTTGTCACCCCTAATGTTCTGATGTGCAGCCTACTATGGTCCTCCAGAACTGAGTTTATTTAACATTTGAAGCTTCTTTCTATTTTCAATTTCAATTTGTTTGTGGAAGTGTTAGTCTAGTAGTATAGAGGTTTAAAAGTACTGGTTTAAGTCAAGTGTATATGTAAGAGCAGTCCAGTGCACAAAGCATCCTTGTTAACAGGATGAAGGTCCGCATCCCAAGAGGTGTGATGTAGACAGTCTACACTAATGCAAACATTAGTGATTGTTTCCATGGCTTGAACCCATGACCTATAGGGCACCCATACAATTGTACCGTAGCTCCAAGGTTCCCCTTCATCAGGTGTATATGTGGTTCTCGTAATATCTGTGAGCCTCCAGATATCTCTGTTGGGGCCTTATTCTATTGGAGTCGTGTGTTTCTAATTAAGAATTTCTTTCTTGGAGTTGTCTGATTTCCTGGAAGCCTAGGATGTATGGTTAAGAACTAGATTTTTTTGGTTCTCAACACTGTTATTCTTGAATCTATGAATAGACCGCTAGGCTCCCCTTGATTAAAAAAAAATAAACCTTGAAGGCCCAACTATTATGTAATTCTTTTGGACAAAAAAACTCCAGAAGAATAGGCCCCAGAACTGCTTTGTTTAATTCTTGGAAATGTGAAATGTTAGATTTAGTCTGTAATGTGACATAGGAAAGCCCCACACTTATCCAATATCACTAAATGGAGACAAGTATCTAGTAGAGGCCGCAGCAGTAAGGTTCCTGCTTATGCCTCCATAGAATCAAGCTTATCTCTGATTTGAAATGTGCTAGTGACAGTCCGAGTTACAGCTCATAGCTAAGGTTTATCAGATGATTGATATTGCATCTTTTCAAAACAATCTTCCCGTAGATATTAAGCTGTTGAGCAACTTCTTATCAATATCGCACTCTATAGTAATTATCACACTTACGGTATTAACAAATCATATCCATTTGGTCAATCGTAGATCAAATTTCACCATGTAAATCTGTTGCATAAATATTCCAACGGAAGATAGGCTTTGTTTGGTGGTGTTACATTTAACTTTATGGTTTGATGGAAGGGAAAATATTGGTATGAACTACTGAAAAATTATAAGTTCTTTTATTATCAACTTTGAATTGTGAAATAGTATTAATGCTGCATTGCTTTTTCCTCATTCCCCTATATTTCTATACAACATATTCTAACATTTTTTGTTTTCTAATTAGGTTGATTTGTGCGATGATGATGATTTTATTGTCCTAGCTTGTGATGGTGTATGGTATGCTTTCTAGACTCTTCGTTTCAATTTGCAAGATCCGATAGGCAATAAGACTACAACAAAGAAGAATGCATATAGGCAGTAAATTGTAGGTCATTTCAAATTGGAACTAAAACCCAATATTGAAGTGGGGGAGAATTAGTGGACAATGAAGTGGGGGAGAATCATGAGGTCTCAGGTCAAATACCAGAGGAGGGAAAGGAAAAAGTCACTAGGTGATTTCTTCCCATCTACTTGAGCCTTGGTGGGTTACCCGGTATCCAAACTTGATGGAAGATAGAAGGTATCCATTGAGGTGTACGCAAGGTGGTCCGGACACCATATTATAAAAAAATGTTTTAATTACATAAAATACTTAAAAAGTAATGTTAGTATCAATTTATCGTAAAAAAGAACTGAAGTATCAATAAGACAACAATCAATTTTTTTAATGAGTAGATGACTCGTTTGTTACTTTATTTATTTTTGCCATGAGGTGTCTTGTTCTCCGTATTTCTCTTCTTGATAAAAGGTGAACAAGAAGTAATCCGTTTTGAGGAAAAGGTAGCATTTTTAGAACATGTTATTGATGGGTAAATGAGATTGTAAAAATTAAACAGTTTTTAGATATGGAAAGATATCATTCTTTTTGGCAAGTATTTAGGTTGCACATCTTTTTATATTTTTTGTTGTTTTTTCATTTTTACCATGTTTTCAATCCTTTCTGGTTCTAACAGCTTTTCCATTTTCCCATCATTCTTAAAATATCTTCACTGGCTCTTTTGCATTCCTCTTTTTCTCATTGTTCTTGAATATTTAGGTCGTATATTTTCTTTTTGTTGTAATTTCTATCTTTTTCGTATTTCCCCCATTTATATTCTTTGTCGAAGTTTCTTCCTTCCCATGTTTCCTTGGGATTTGAAATTTAACGTTTGGGGTTGGAGGATAAACTCATTTTTTGTGGTATTCCATTACTAAAAAATTAATTCTGATGTTAAAGCAAGTATTGCATTGGATTAGATAGAATTATTGACTAGTTATCCTGCGCGGGACACCGAGTACCACGCTGTGGACGAGCATTTGACATTTGAGCTATAATTACCTCATTACAATCTATTCTAGAGAGTAGACTGACTTAATCCCTCCAGATGTTTTTAGAGGGCGAAATTAAGGCTTGCCTAGTGCTAGCCTTTGAAGACAGAAGCAATTCTTTACATACTATTAAGATGAACAGTATTCTTTTGTTTCATTTCTGGTGTAAAGAAAGCTTTGTAGAGGGGGCAGAATCTGTGGTAGACTTGCTAGGCTCTCTGTAATCTTTGGGAGGATAACTGGATTTCTGTTTCCTGTAAATATGGCTTGGCACTATTTTAGTGCTACTTTTGTTCATATTAATATATACATGCTACCTTCCTCAAAAAAGTGTACACCTGAAACTTACAATACTCATTCTTGGTTCTCATTTTTCAATTGTTCCTGTGGTTTTTCTTCTTCTAAGCTCTCTATTCTATTGTCGGAATAATCCGATTATCACGTGTCTTTTTCTTGTTTTGCAGGGACTGCATGTCGAGCCAGCAGTTAGTGGATTTTATACATGAGCAGCTCAAGTCGGTTAGTCTGATAGATGATGCTTTGTACCATTAAGATTAATTATTGCTCAAGTACAAAATTCAAATATGTTTTTTTAGCCATAGCATTGAGTTCTTTATGCTATGTGATAATATTCATCATGTTCACTGTATGGGTGTGCCAAAAGCCAAAGATTATATAAAGCCACTAAAAGTGAAACCTGCGGAAAAGCTAGTTGAGGTAGTGCATTGCCCATAGAAAAGATTTTGCTGATCTGTTACTTTCAAAACGAATAGTTCTTTTGGCCATGCATTCTTGCCATATTTTGGAATATACCTATTTGCCACAAATGAAACTTTGCTACGAGAAGAGGTATAAGGCTGAAGGGGAACATGTTTACTTCTGCAGTATCTTTGATTGTCTAGTTGACTTGGATCTCTTTGTTCTGATACATTCTGCTACTGGCTCCATTTAATGCTGTGACCGACCTCTGTTTTAGATATCTTTATTTGTTCTTAGTTTTTGCTCATTTTAGCCAGTGCAGGGGGTTGGGTGGATGTGATTTTTTGATGGGTATCGGGTTGGTAAAATTTGATTCTTTGATCAGAGGTTGCATAGATATCATGCAGCAATCAAATGTTGTTATATCACTGAAGATATACTGATTGACCTAGGAGGTTTTTGACTCTTGTAGGAAAGCAAACTTTCTGCAGTATGTGAGAGAGTTCTTGATAGGTGTTTGGCACCGACAGCTGGAGGTGAAGGATGCGATAACATGACCATGATTTTAGTACAAATCAAAAAACCTGTTCCCTCTGGGGCTTCTCCGAGTGACAAACCATTAGCTTCTCCAGGTGATGAGCCGTCAGCTTCGAGTGAGAAACTCCCTGCTTCAGATGATGTAATTGCTGAAACAAAACCAGCAGAGTGTGGATCAAGTTCATAGTCACAGACATCCCTCTTATTTAATAAGAGTCTCATCTGCAGTTGTAAATGATTGTTTTTGAGCTACAAGGATAAAATGTTATAGCTTTCACTGCTGCTGGTTGTATATGTTGTTTTGTGTTGTACTATATACCTCTTTGGATGACTTGTATAGATGACTTGACCAGATGTTCTTGACATGAAAAGTAAAACCAAATTACTTTTTTATCCAAAATGATTTATTTTTTTCACAAACTACACAATCCCCTTGATACTTCTGCAATTACATTCTTTTCTCTAGTTGTATGTGAATTTTTTTTTTTGTGACAATTATCAAGTGGAAACATTATCTGGAAATAAGAGGGAGGGGAAGGAACGGGTAAAATTTATAAATGACCACTTTCAGACTCTATCATGGAGTTTCACTTGTAGAAATTGGAATTCCGTAACATTTAATAGTTTCAAAGATGGGATCGAAAAATGGTCAATGAACGTTATTTCTACATAAAAGAGATGGGAAGAGGTTAGATTTGAACCCTGTCTAACTGGGATATATGAAAAAAGAACGACTATTTCTAAGTTAACAACACTATTTTCTTGTGATATATTATGAGCTATAAGTAATGCTACACTCAAATTCATAACCAATTGACGATTATCGTCCTACTAGAGGTTGCTCGAAGCCATGACTGGAGATTAACGATGGTAGACCAGTTACGAATCCTGGACTTTCAATTTTGTTTTGATTTCTATGTATCAGTAATTCTGGTTTGTTTTCTTCATCTTCTCCGTTGATCCTGGTAGGGTCCTTCCTCTTCCTGGTCCTTCAACAAGCCTAGGAAAGCAAGAAACCCGAAAAAGAAGAACCCACCTTTCCAATGGCCTCCACCACCCCCACCTCCACCTCCGCCTCCATCATCATCACGAGGGGGAAATCCAGTCCCACCATCATCCAGGTCAGGGGATTTCTCCTTTCCTGCATTCAGCCCCGACATATCAGCATTCAAATGATACTTCCTACTGGATCTTTATAAAGTGCCAAAGTAGTTAACTTTTTGGCATAATACATAGACATGACCTTTAACTTGGCTTCAGCTGACAACTATGACCTTTTAACTTTTGGTGTGCACAAGTAGACGCTTAAACTTGTATAAAATTGAACAAATAGACACATTCATCCTACATGGAACCCTACATGACACGTGTGTCTACTTGTTCAATTTTATACAAGTTTAAGTAACTATTTGTGCACTCCCACAATTGGAAGGCATAGTTGTTAGATGAAGTCAAGTTAAGGGTCATGTTTATGTATTATGCCAAACTTTTTGTTGATAAACCTTGGTGAAAATCATTGGTTAAGTAGAGATAAAAACTGATTCTATGATCCTCTTTTACAGCAACTGGACGGAGTGCAGTGAAAACAACTAAGTTGCAAAATACAAATTGTTTTATTTCCATTCATTGGTCTACCAGTTACTACTAAGAGCATGAAAAGATTACCTTGAACTGGTGCAACTGTAATGGTTGATGATTCTCGTGTAACTGTCTGTGTCTGGCCTTCAGCACATCTCGCATTCTGCATTGATGCAAGAACAAAAGGTCAAACGGAAATGCTTATAGTAGTATAGTTTACTTGAATGATACAGGAAATGGAAAACCAAATGATGAATGTGGGTAGTAGTAGTAGTAACAGCATCAAGAACAGCGATATACATATTAATCAGTTACTTTTTCGGATTGTCTTGCCTGTAACTTGAAATGCTACCACTTACAAGTACTCCCTTCATTTCAATTTGTTCGTCTAATTTTTGGGTACTTTCTACGTATCTTTACTTTTAAGACCACAAGATTCAAAAGTCTTTTTTGTTTTCTTAAACTCCGTACCAAGTTGAAACGGAGGGAGTAATAAACGAAACATATATCTCCACAAGTCCACATGTTACCTTCTCAAAGAAAATGTATCTCCATATGTTACATACCCATATCTATAAACAATAACTAGCAAATAGAGAAGCTGATAAAGATTTTAGGGCACTTGTTCTAGTAAATACAGTTGATTTTCACTATGCTGACTGCAGAACCCACTTGGCATGCGGAACTGCATATAGCGAGACAGTCTAATCTGATAACTTATGCCATAAACAGCTACTTGCAGTAGCATTCTGAAGCTCCAAAGCTTCTCACAGCAAAAGTTGTACAAAATTAATATAAAAGACATGACAAGTACGGATTGACCCACTAGAATTGCTGGAGACATGTAATTAGTTAACAAGGCACTGGGAACAATTATACGAAAACAAGCATTGAAGAGACTGATACCAGAGCAGCAGCACATATTATTGAAGCACGCCTTTCTTGAACAGGACATCTCAAGCTTCTTCTATTGTTATTGAGTTGTAACTGCATGCCAACCGGATGGAGGCCAGCTGGAACTGATACTATTGGCTTGAATTGCTTCCGGCATTGATCCCCTGCTCTCACTGTGATAACAATATTCAATGATTAACAAATTAGATAGCATGACTTACAGGATGAGCAGCAAATCTTCGAAAGGATTTTGCCAACATTGAATTTTAAAGTATCGAATGTCTTGATGACATTGTTGTCACACCTTAAATGTAAGCGGTCAATTAGAGATTATCAAGAAAATGTAATGTTCAATTACATTAATTCAAAACCTAAACACGATCACATCAAGTTTAATAGAAAATCAAAGAGTACTTTTTTCATTAATTTTAAATCTAAGGAGTCAAAATAACCAAATTCAATCAAGCTGGATGATAGATCATAAACCAAAATTTCACTTCAACTGATTTGCAGTATTAAGTTATTATATATTTGACATGAACCTAGACGGAGTGACATGGGTAATGGTGAGGATTCATATATCTGGACCCCAACTTGCTTGAGATTAAGCAGTGTAATTGTTGTTGTCGTGACTCGTGAGTATTATATATTTGGCTGTGAGTGGGTGAGTGCCAATTGATGTTTTCATATACAGAGTTACAGACAAAGAGAAAGCTAAACAGTCTAATGGTATAAGCAGAAAAGCAATTACAAGAGGATCATTACTTAATGTGACTGTCTTTAACTCCTACAGCACTTAACAGCAATTGCTATTCAGATATTCTTATATCTATGTGGCAAAGGCTTCTCAATGAGCTAACAGCAAGAGATGCTGATCTATTAACATTAAACAGGATCAACTATACTCCCGGTTTCACCATGTGATCCTAATGACATGCCAAAAAGTAATTCTGACATCCTTTCAGAAGAGATGCGGAGGTACCAATTAAAAAGAACCGATCGGGAGCATACAGCCACATACCTATTGGCAAAGTAGTTACGCTCATGGTGGTACTGGCAGTTAACGACATCTTTTTGCAAGAATTCTGAGTCTCCCTGAAATTGAACTCGTATAGAATCCTGAAATCCGAAAGGAAGAGTAGAATCAATATGCAAATGTATTAAATTTCTTTGTCATGGAAATGGAAAACCTTTCTCGCCTTTGGCGCACTTTAAGTGTTAGTCCCAAACGGAAGGATGGTAGTGTCCACTATCAGACTATAACTTCATTCAATTATTTGAGTCATGAGTGTTTGATAATTAGTGAAGCTTGTACATATACAGAAAAATCAGTCAATATTTTTTCCATATAACTGCTATTCCAGAAAAAGTCCAGTTAATGATTAGTGAAACAACTAAATTTTTTCTTTACCAATTTTCACATTTTCTTTCCAAAGTAATAAAAAGACCACAAAATTAAGGAATGAACATAGAGGGCCAACTCCATCTCAACTGCCCACAGCAAACAACATTTTTCTCTATCCATCCCGCTATCTTAATAAGACAATACAAAGTTCAACTTGGGCACTACGAGAAAGTAGATGCGACAGAATTAGATGCATATGAGGGGAAAGCTAGCAAACAACCACGACGGAACCTAAATTCTGAACTTTGTACAGAGACAAATCAGATTCTAATTTAAAGTCTGAGACAAGGAGAGATGTGCATTAGCGGGTTCCATAGCTCCTAGCCTCCAACTCTGGAGGAAATAGTTATGCATTCCAAAATCATGTATCTTGAAAGATATTACTAGTAAAGTCAAACCAAAATAACAAACTTCATTACAAATATTATGTTACAATCTTATAAAACTGTAAAGACAACCATATCTTAGATCAGATATCCCGTGTATTCTGTAGCATAACTAAACAGAAACCACCCAAGTATACCGTCTTGAGACGAGGCTCATAATGGCTCCTCCTTTGGAACATAGGGTGTACTACGTTAACTATTTTAGACGTTAGCCGCTTACCCAGGATTTTTCACTGTCTAAAGTTCAGCTTGTAAGTAGTTTGGGTCTAAGATTCTGTTGGTTTTAAGATCTTACTTCCTGTTTCAAATTGATTTTTACTTTGTATTATTTTCAAGCAGTGACAGCTTATCTCATACATACATGATGTTACAAAAAATATATTTACACATATAAGAAAAATGTTCTGTGATGCTGTGTCAGATGACACCCCCCTTTCTGAAGAGTGTCTCCGCCACTGCTAGACGCAAGACAGGGCAACCAGCACTTGTTTTGTGATATTCCCAAATAGATAGATGCCTCTAGTTTAAGCTTCAGTTACATAACTTTTCATCTGCCTTGACATACCCATGTGTAAAGGTCTTACACGGGGAGGGGGAGGGGGTGGGCGCGTACTTCCAGCAGATTCTCCAAAATGTAGTAAAAATATGCTAAAATTGAATGTACCAGCTAAACCCCCTATTGATACAAAGTCTACCACTGCTAAAAATCAGGAATTAGCAACAGACAAATTCTATAGCTAAACAACAATAATCCTTCACTAATCTATCAGAAATTCAGTTAGCTACGAGCAATGATGAATTTTTTTTTATTTTTTTTTGTAGTGTTTCAAACTTCATGTAAAATAGGTTTAGCACCCATGGTATTTCAAGAACAAACTCCATCATCTACCATAGAACACTCCTTGTATAACAGAACAAGGCAAATGGCTTTTACATGACAACAAAAGGGTGTTCAAATTACACAATCATCATCAATGGCATAGGCACTGACAAAATCCATTTCCTCCAAGAAACTATAAGCTACATCATGCTACAGCCTAAAAAACACAACTTTAATACTCCCTCCATTTCAATTTGTATATCTTACTTTCCCTTTTAGTTCATTTCATAAACAAACATAACTTTCATTTCTTTCACAATTCTTTAATCTCAACTTGACATATTTAAGATCACCGTATCAAACAACATTTCGGTATATTCAATATATTTTTAGTATAAAACATCAACATTCAATAGTCATTCATTACTTTCTTAAACTTTGTGTCCGGTCAAAAACACACAAATAAATTGAATGCATATCAATACCATTAAAACCCACAAAGAATTCATCAATATCAATGGAAATATCCAACCTTTTTCACAAAAACAAAGTAAACCCAAACGATAATTCCACGAGAAGAGCAAAATACAAACCCCCACAAAAGAAAAATGGGAAAAATAAATTAAAATGAATAAAAGCACGAACCTTTTTTTTCCAGATACCCAATATATTGAAGAAGAATGATAGGAAGAACGGAAAATCCCTCGTTTTTTCGTTGGGTTTCTGCAAAATTGGAGGAAGAACAAGAAGAAAGAAAAGCTTTAAAACTTGTTGATTTTATTTTTTTTGGGTTTCCCACCGGGTTTCAGAGTCTATATTGGAGCTCCGACTAAATTTGGATCACACTCTGCAGGACTCAATGGAAGGGGTGGCTCCCGACAAAATTTTCTCTAAAATATTAGAAATGACTTAAAAATAACATAGAACATATTTTTTACTAATTTAAAAAGGATAGTCTATATTTTATTTATGTTGAGATATATCACGATCCAAATCGTCGATTGATATATTGTTCCCTCCGTGGGTGAACCAAACCTTAACAATTAACACATGCAATATTTAAATTCCTAGACATTTAAGAAGCATAACATGGTGAGTAAGGGTCTCAAAATAAAATAAATAAAATGAAGCAAAAATCTACACTACGTACCCTATAAATCGAAAGTGATCATACGAGAACTCTAGCTAAAAACTGTCAAATAGTAGAAAAATAAAATAAAATGCATCAATGTTTAGAAGAAAGACATCTATCATCAGAAAAGTTACATAAATGTTTATGGATCGTAGTTTACACTCAAAAGAAAGTGCATGAGTAACATCCGCACAAAGTACAAACATCATGTACTAGTATGCATCATATGCTGACTAAAATTAGTAAATAGTATATAATTATACTCAAGAGTATGATAGTGATTGAGAACTTGAGGTCTCAAGTTCAAAACTCAGCGAAGACAAAAAGATACCAAGTGATTCTTTCTATCTATCCTAACCTTGGTAGTCTTTGAACAATAATCATCAACACTCTACAAATCACATAAAATCATATTCATTTTGTTTTATTTTTATAGTTATACAACACTTGGATCTAAAATATACCATGTATTTTTATGGTATAAACATAATTTATAGAAAGACCAAATTATTGTTATATAGTATAAATTAGGATAAATATTCATGATATAAATTATTATAATATAAACTATTTATATCTAAAATATACCATATATTTTTATAATATAAAATTATAAATAATTTATGGAAACATTAGTAAACAAAAAGAAAAAGAAAAAAAGGCTAAGTTGGTTAGGGCCCCAAAAATAAGCCCATTAGTGAGGGCCCAATACTAAACCCAAGTTCACCTAATTTATATATAACCCGAAACATTTTATTTCGAAAAAACCCTAATCGCAAATAGAGGCCAAGTGTATTTGAACACTTCATCGTCTTCACGGCCTCCAACCGAAGATGAAGGTTACTCAGTAAACTATTATTTTCACCTTAATTGTGTGTTTTTCAGTGTAATAATGGAACTGATGTTATGTTTTGTAATGTATTTTGCAGTTCAACATTGCGAATCCGACCACTGGGTGCCAGAAAAAGCTTGAAATCGATGATGATCAGAAACTGTAAGATAATATAGTGTTTTGTTTTTCAATTTTACCTACTTGTGTTATGGAGATGGAATTGATAAGAATTTGTTGTGATTGTATGTTTGTGTTGATGTGAGATCCTTGATAATGAACGAAATTGTTAGTCTAAGTGTTAGATCTTAAAAGATGAAACAAATTTATTGTTGGAATGAAATGGACCTAAATTGAGCTGAATTTTTGAAGTTTATTGCTATGATTCTCCCTTACTAGTTTGGAATTGAGTGTAGTACTGTGCTTCAATTGATTGGTTGATTTATGTTATTGTCCAGTGTAATCCTTCAACTGCATTTTGAGATTATAGAGTGTATGCAAACCTTACCATTTCCTCACGGTGTTAGATATGGGTATCAAATCAAACTAGTTTTGAATGAGTAAATACAGCAATGAAGTAATGTTGTCTGCAATATCGGAAAAAAATGTTAAATTCATATTTACTATGATTAATGAGAGTTCTGTTTGCTTTTGGATGTTGGTGGAGCTTACAGTTAAACTGGAAGGAGTAATGTGTGATTTAGAGGATTTAGTGTTATATGAATAATTCTCTTAAAGCCCATGTAAAATTCTATCTTTTAAGACAAATGTTGAGCATTGGAATGACGTGACTTTGGATAGAGTGGATATAGAGGATTCTTAGCCTATCACAACTAGTTTGGGATTGAGCCTTGGTGTATTGGAATGACATGACCCTAGATGGAGCGGAACAAATATAAAGAGGATGCATAGACAACCATAACTTAGTTAGGGATTGAGGCATAGTGTAGTGATGGTGTTATAGTTATAATTGTTGTACTTAGCTTTGTAGCTATCGAGTGGTGGGTTTATGTAAGCAGTCTCTGTGGTTTTTTTTTGAGCATGCATGTCCAGTTTAGTTTGTCAACATTGATGTATTCAGAAGATACTTTTGAAATAGAAATATCTAAGCTGAATTCTTTATATGCAGCCGAGCTTTCTTTGACAAAAGGATCTCCCAGGAAGTTAGTGGAGATGCTTTGGGTGAGGTAGGCTTCTGTTCTCCTTACTCTGGCTTTTGGTTGGAAATCATGCTAATCTTGTTGACTCTTTTCCATAATTGTTATCCTTAATTGACAGGAGTTCAAGGGTTACGTTTTCAAGATAATGGGAGGATGTGACAAGCAAGGGTTCCCAATGAAGCAGGGAGTGTTAACTCCTGGCCGTGTTCGCCTTTTGCTCTACAGAGGTATGTTTAGAATGAGCTTAATGGGCACACCTAAATGTTTCTTTTCATCAAAAGCTGTTATTTTAAGATCTTTATAAAAAGAAAAGCTGTTATTTATGTATCTAAGTGCTCACACATGAAACAGGTACTCCTTGCTTCCGTGGTCATGGTAGGCGAAATGGAGAGCGCAGAAGGAAGTCTGTCCGTGGATGCATTGTCAGCCCTGATCTTTCTGTTTTGAACCTGGTTATTGTTAAAAAGGGGGAGAATGATCTGCCTGGACTCACCGACACCGAAAAGCCAAGGATGAGAGGACCCAAAAGGGCTTCCAAGATCAGAAAGCTCTTCAATCTTTCCAAGGAAGATGATGTCAGGAAGTATGTCAACACTTACCGAAGAAATTTCACCACCAAAACCGGTTAGTTGTTACTGTTGTGTCTACTGTCTCCTTAGTTTTTGCATTTTATTCAAAAAAAATTTTTGTTCTTTCTGATGTGGAAACCGTGAACTAGCTAAGTGTTGTGATTTTCCCTGGGGACAGGTAAAAATGCGAGCAAAGCTCCTAAGATTCAGAGGTTAGTGACACCCCTGACGTTACAAAGAAAGAGAGCGAGAATTGCTGACAAGAAGAAGAGAATTGCCAAGGCTAAGTCAGAGGCAGCTGATTATCAGAAGCTTCTTGCTAGTAGGTTGAAGGAACAAAGAGAAAGACGTAGTGAGAGTTTGGCTAAGAAGAGGTCTAGACTCTCTGCAGCATCTAAGCCATCTATTGCCGCTTAAGTTCAGTGGGATCTTATTGAGAGGGGAGGAAAAATGATGATGAGTGGGATCTAATTCCTGCTATTTTTTTGTCTGGTTCTTATAGTTGTTTCTGGATGTCTTACGCAGTATTTGTCATTTCTAGTGTTCTCAGGCAATACTTTGATCTGATAGTTGCCACATACAATTATCTTTCATGCTCCAGATTTTGGTTACTTTGCCCCTATATACAAGGATCATCTGTCTTGTGTTTTTCTTGATATTGATCAGTTCCTTTTTTGTTTACATATCTGACATTAATGTATTTTCAACAGTCTTCTAAACTATATTGAGGTTGATGACCTTAAAATTCGTGCTGTCATCTGTCTGGATGTTGGTGGCTTTCTAACTTGGTCATTATTACTTGTTCTGGTGTTCTTGCACTGAATTGAACTCCCAACTTGTTAGTTTAAACATGTTTTGGGTTAGGATTAGTAAATGGAACTTTGTGCTGTAGTATTTGGCTCTGCTTTGAGCATATTGGAGCAAAAGACCCTTCTGCTCCAACATGTGTTGATGCTAGTTTTATTGGTTCTTAGAGTATTATGTTATTGTTATATATAAATTGGTATTATTGAATCCCATATATATATACTCCTTCGGTTCAATTATATATGCTACAATTTGTCTTGACACGGAGTTTAAAAAATTTCATTATATACAATATAATTTGATTTGATATTGAATTTAAGAAAGAAAGAAAGATCGTTGAAATTTGTGTTCTAGAATAAGTTGATGGTTGTGTAGATAAATCATTTTATTGAAGGTAAAATAAGAATTTTTTAAGTTAAAACGTTATTAAATATAAAAATGTGTTTTTTTGGGACAGACTAGTATGTTACTCATTCAATTTAAATATTTATAGGTATCTGTATAAGCAAGATTTTAATTGTAACACGTGTTTCTTGTAGTTTAGAAGATTTCCTTTTATTATAAAGGTAAATTATCATGAGGTCCCAATGGTTGAAAAAAAAAAGGTTTGTAAAGTCAATTAGTGTGTACTTGAGCAGTTGAGCTGACCTGCTAGTAATAATAATAGACATGAGGTACCTTTTTTAACCAAAAAAGAAACAAAACATCAAGTCCCAAATTAGGTTGCTCAGAATTGTACATTAGGCCTGGTTACTTGTACCTTAGTTCAATTTTGACATCATCAAGTCTTAAGATTCCAGGATCTTGGAGATTCCACCAACCAAAACGATGTGTGGATGAAGTTGTTACTTCCTTAATTAGAAGTTTTTGTTTTAAATTTTGAATATGAAATTATTTCTTATAAGTAACTCAATTCCTAAATGGCCCTATTCAAAGTGAATTTTGATTAGTCGAGCTCCAATGCGAATGTTGATATTACGATAATAACAACATTATATCTAGTGAAAAGTGGACAATTTTAAAAGAGTCTCGACTCAAGTGAAGCAAATCAAAATAGTAATGAAAAGTAAAAAAAATGATAGTGAACAAAATATGACAACTAATAGAAAATTGACGTTGGGACTTAAATATACCCCCTCCGTCCCTATTTACTTGTTAAACATTTCCTAATTTGATTTCCCTTTTTACTTGTTATTTTGATAAATCAAGGAAATACCATTTCTTTCTTCCTATTATACACTCAATTTATTAACATTGAGTTAATGTTGAAAAATGTAGTGAGTAAATATGTTAAGACTATATCAATTAATAAAGACAAAATGATAAACTTACTATATCAATCATTATTTTTTTAATAGATGTGTCAAGTCAAAATTTAACAAGTAAAAAGGAACCGAAAAAGTAAAAAACCACAAAGATAACAAATACCAAAAGTCAAAACCTATGTGAATAGGCTAAGTACTAATACGAATATCGAACATCGAATGAAAAATAATAAAAATCTTAATATTCCAACATTAATTACCAGCCATGTACCAAAAATCAAAGAAACCAACTACCCAAACAATATAATATACACTATAATACTACTACAACAAAGAATAACTTCATCATAATCAAATTTGTTTCCTTATATTTTGTTTAACCTTTGTAAAGATTCTCATTTTCTTGGAAAGTCCGAACAAGATTTGCTTTAGAAACCCAAAAAAGTTTGTATCTTTGGATAGATTTCCTAATTAAAACCCCCAGAAAAGCTCATTTTTTAGGCTGTGGGTTTGTAATGGCATCATCAATGAGGCTCATTTTCTTCACTTTATTGGTTTTTATTGCACTGATATTTACACAGATCAAAGCTGAAGCTGAGGTTAAATCTGTGGATGATGAAGTGGAAGTGGTTAAATCCCATGTTTCCACTTCTGCAGAGTTGGACCATCTTAAGTCCAAGATCCAATCTTTGGGTTAGATTTGAATTTTTTTCACTTTTTGTTGTGTTTTTGTTTAGTTTATGATTCTTTTTTCTTGTGGGTGTTTGGGAAAGTGTGTTTATTGTGTTTCTGTGTGGATTACTTGATTGAAAGACTGGACCTTTAAGGTGCATTTGAAAATGTTTTGCATTGGAGGATCATTTTCTTGAAAATTTTCCCTTTTGGTTGTGTTTTTGTTTAGTTTATTGATTCTTTTTTCTTGTGGGTGTTTGGGAAAGTGTGTATATTGAGTTTCTGTGTGGATTACTTGATTGAAAGACTGGACCTTTAAGGTGCATTTGAAAATGTTCTGCATTGGAGGATCATATTCCACTGTTTTGTTTTGTTTATGATTCTTTTTTCTTGTGGGTGTTTGGGAAAGTGTGTTTATTGAGTTTCTGTGTGGATTACTTGATTGAAAGACGGACCTTTAAGGTGCATTTGAAAATGTTCTGCATTGGAGGATCATATTCCACTGTTTTGTTTAGTTTATGATTCTTTTTTCTTGTGGGTGTTTGGGAAAGTGTGTTTATTGAGTTTCTGTGTGGATTACTTGATTGAAAGACTGGACCTTTAAGGTGCATTTGCAAATGTTTTGCCTTGGAGGATCATTTTCTTGAAAATTTTCCCTTTTGGTTGTGTTTTTGTTTAGTTTATGATTCTTTTTTTCTTGTGGGTGTTTGGGAAAGTGTGTTTATTGTGTTTCTGTGTGGATTACTTGATTGAAAGACTGGACCTTTAAGGTGCATTTGAAAATGTTTTGCATTGGAGGATCATTTTCTTGAAAATTTTCCCTTTTGGTTGTGTTTTTGTTCAGTTTATGATTCTTTTTTTCTTGTGGGTGTTTGGGGAAGTGTGCTTTTTGGATATATGTGGATTACTTGACCAAAAGGCTAGCTTTTTAAGGTGCATTTGAAAATATTTTGCATTGGAGATCATTTTCCTTTGTTTGGTGGAAGATAGTATTATGATGATAATGTTTTGGTTGAATATTTTGTTGTATTAATGATTGGTAATGATATCTATGAGTTGGTTAAAACAAGTGGTGTAAAGTATGAGATGGGATCTTCATAAAAGAAAATGATGTCTTCTCATAAGTGGTATGAGTAATTTGTTTCCTTTAGTGGAAAGTAACTTTCCCATATTTAGAAATATAGGCAGAGTCATGATTTTTATCTTTTTTTGGGTTTTGAATCACTATTTGGATAGATTATTTATGCATATTAAATGAATTTTATTAACACGAATACGAAGTTTGAGCCTAAGCTATTGTATTCTGCCGAGCACGTACCCTTGTCCATATTCCAAGGCAAAAAAATAAGGGAAAATGAAATCATAAAAGGAATTTCTTATGGGGAAACTGTTTTCGAGGCATAGGGAACTATCCTTAATCTTCAAATCTAGTGATGCAAGGGACTCTTGAGATATTAACTTTTTGATGATTTAATTGGTTGACTGATTAAAGTTCTTATCTTTTGGGAATTGAGTTAACGTTGAGCTAGATTTGAAGACAGAAGTCTGTGATACAAGATTACAGGATTAAGAAATGTAATGTAACTTTGTTCAGTTACTTATATTGTTCAAACAAGGAGAAGAAATGGCTAGATTGAAGTCAAATGTAAAAGTTGTATGTTAGAGCTACTTTTGATCCCCGAAGAAATCGCAAACTTATATTTATGGATATCTCCACATGTCCAAGTAAATGATATTGTCAAGTACCTGCTGCTTCAGCTTATTAATGTTCGATGCATCTCTTCTCTTTGGTGTTCTATGCTATGTACTTTTGTCCTTTGGGTAGAACTATCTATGATTTTAATATCATGTATTTTTGGTCTTTGCTGTAGGAAGTGAAGGAACAGTAGATAAAAACTGCTGCTTCCATTAGATGCATTTGTCGAACAGAAATCCACTGCTTTACATACTGTGCCACTAAATTAGTTATGAAGTTTTGACATCATATACATAGAGCTAGTTCTTTAATTGGTTTTTGCTTTTAGACAAATGAAGCTGCAAACTCCAATTTGCCATTTCTCGCTGACATCCTTTCTTCACACCCTATACAGAATTATGTGCTATTATTTGACGGAGCATCAATAGTAATTAAAGAGCTTAAGATATGTCGTATTTACGGAGAAGTTACCCACTGAAGATAGAATTTTCAACTGATGTAGTTTAAAGACGGGTGACATTACCTCTCTGGTAATATTTTATTGAGAAAGCAGTGGGAAAAAAAATCTCTTGTCAAAAAGATAATCCAAAAGGAAGGAAGCACAACTTGTTTGTTGGAAAGAAAAATATAGCTAAAGAGATATCATTACATCCTTATAAGTATATCATCTCCATTATACTTTCTTGTTATGCCCATTAAGTTATCTATAGTGGTATCCAGAGATAAAACGGAATGTTAGAAGTAGTCATATTTGTCTGCAGTAAGATGTTTTGGCTTAAGCAATAGGGAGCTGTTCCTCAAATATTCTTACCATGTCCTCTAAAAAGTTTTTGCTTTTGAAGAATCAAATGTGAAGGACGCTGCCACAGAACTGAAACAGAAGGATGAAGTCATTGCTGGCAAGGAGGAAATGATAAAAGAGAAATCAGAGTCAATTGCTTCATTGCTAGCCCAAATATCTTCTCTCCAAGTGAGTCAACTAACTTCTTCATACAAGTGTTGGCTCTTACGTGCAATTTTACACTAATTAAGATGTCTGAATAATGTTTCTATAACACATTCTAAAAGTTTTGATTATTTGTTCTCCCAGGAAAAAGGTTCATTGGATGCTGAGGAGAAAGTTAAAAAGGCTCATGCCCGAGTTGATCAATTAGAAAAGCAAGTTGAGACACTAAAAAAGGAAGTTGATATGAAGAATAAGGAGAAAAAAGATTTGGGAACCCAGATAAATGAAGCAGAGCAGAGAGTAACTGAATTAAATTCAAAGGTTGAGAAGGTAAGCTTCTCATGTGGTTACCTTTACCACATAATATCAACTTGTCTACAATTTTTCCACCATAATAAATTATGTTCCTCTGACCTTATCCGAACTCTTTTTGAGAATGATGTTTTCACATATTGCACTTCAGCTTAAGTTTCAACACGAATTCTGGGTACAGTTTCAAAAGATGTTTCCTTTCTAGATGGTTTAGGTCTGCCGCCCATCTCTAAGACTTGATTGTTGTATGGTATAGCTGATTGTAGATGCTTGAGTCGGTGCATTTTAATTT